TCCATTATCTTCTTTTCCAACATTTTTTATTATATTCAATAACTGCAAATTATTCCTTTATAAAACTTAAACTTTTATTTTCCTATTTTCTTATAGAGATATTTCTGAACAATATCAAATAAAAGGATATTCCCTTCTTGATGTCTTTGATCTTTCTAATGACAGACTAAAGTTGGTTGTTCCAATAAGTTTTCTTTTTTTCCCAAGAGTTCTAAGCACTAACCAAAGAACTGGGCATATATTACCTTTTCTTAACCTTTATAACAATTTTATAAAGTAAATAATGTTCTCTTCAGTTATTAGATAAAGAAACTAAGACGTCAGGAGAGTAAATAACTGGTCTAAGTTTACTTAGCTTGGCTGTGGTGCTGCCAGAATTTCACCCCAGGTCTATACAAAGTCAAGGTACATGGGTATTATATACTTTGTGAGGTCTTGTGGGTCTGAGAAATTCTTTGCACATTAGCAATTTGGCTGAATGAGAATGACTGGGTTACAGTCCTTTCCCATAGATGTTTATAGTTCCAATTTGTTTCAGTTAAAAGTGGGCTCAATTACATTTAACAGAAGACTCAAATTACAGTGGCTTTTTAAATGGGTGTTTGGGTGTTTGTGTGTGTGTGTGTGTGTGTGTGTGAGAGAGAGAGAGAGAGAGAGAGAGAGAGAGAGAGAGAGAGAGAGAGAGAGAGAGAGATCCAAAGATAGAATGCAGAGCTGGTATCTCATGAATCCAAGTCAACATGGGACCACGTGTCTACCATCTTTCTTTTTTTCTTTAACCTTTTCCCATATATATGTTAAGTGTGTGTCTACCATCTTTCTTAGCAGGCAGCTTCCATTCCTTCATTCTTCCATTCTGTGCCTCTTAGAGGGCACAGGGTGCCACTGCAGCTCCAGCTCTCACATCAATATTCTCTACATAGCAGGAAGAGGCCAGGAGGCCTGGAAACATAGGTGTATAATTGGCACACTGCCACACCTAACAAAAAAAGGAACTAAGAAAGTAGTGATGGTTAACAGTTTTTGCAACAGTCTTACCAGGATATTTCTAGGTATTGAGTGTATTTCTTACCACTTTTGTTTAGGTCTTCAACTCAGAAATATATCCTATTATATCTGTAACTGTTGCTTTGGGTATATTTTTTCTGGTTTTATTTATTCTCATGTTTGTCTTTTAGGTGACTTTATTTTTCTGAGTTGTGATTCTTCTCATCTCTATCTCTAATGGACTTTAAAATTCTAACATTTACATTAGATTCTCTTAAAGAAATATATCTTATTTAGCTCCTTTAACAGTTTTCTGCTTCTTAGCTAATTCCCTTTATATTTGAGACTCCTTATTATCAATTTTCTTTTATCTCTTGTATCATAGAGAAAAATTTTGAGAAAAAAATTAAACAATAGAAAGGCATAAGCAACTAACAGCTATATACCCATCGCCTGGAGCTGATTATTGTTGACATTTTCTCATATTTGTTTTATTGGCTTAAAATTCAACCAATCCCCCACCTTAACTCTGGCAATCCCAAACACCTTTACTATATCCTTCTCTTTTCTCTTTTCCCTTTTCCACAGCACTTATCACTTCCTAAAATAACATATAATTTATTTATATTTTATAGCCCTACCTCTGCTATATAAGGTCCCTTAAGGCAGGATCTTTGTCTGTTTTGTTCACTGGTAATTCCAAAGTATTTAGAACACTAACTGGAACACAGTAGGCACTCAATAAGTATTTGTTGAATGAATAAATGAAGGAAGATTATATTTTTAGATCATGTATGTTGGTATATAGACTTTGTCTATTACTTTTAACTGTATGTGTACTCCATTGTCAGCATAATAATAAACACAGCTAACATTTACTAAGTGCTTATTGTGTTCCAAGCACTGTTCTGGCTTTCACTTCTCATATAATGCTCAAATAGACCTGTGATATAAGTACTGTTAGTAACCCCCAGGTTACAGATGAGAAATTAAAACCAGTGAGTGGATACAAAATCAGCTTACAGATATCAGGTGCATTTCAACACACTAACGACTAAACATCTGGGGGAAAAAATCCCATTCACAGTGGTATCAAAAACTATAAACACTTGGAAAAAAATTTAACCAAGGAGGTAAAAATTCTTTACACTGAAAACTATAAGCTTTTGATGAAAAAAATTGAAAAGACACAAGACAAATGGAAAGATATTTCATGGTCATGGATCAGAAGAAATAATTTTGTTAACATGTCCATACTAGCCAAATCCATCTACAGATTCAGTGCAATCCCCATCAAAATTCCAAGGCATTTTTTATAGAAATAGTACAAATAATTCTAAAATTTATATGAAACTACAAAATAGACAAAGCAACCCTGAGAAAAAAAGAACAAAAGTTGGAGGCATCATACTTCCTGACTTCAGACTATCTTACAAGGCTACAGAAATCAAAACAGTATGGTACTAGCATAAAAACAGACATATAGATTAATGGAACAGAAATGTAAGCCCCAGAAATAAATCTTCACATATACAGTCAACTAATATTTGACAAGCAAACCAAGAATACTCAATAGAAAAAGAATCGTCTCTTTAATAAGTGGTGTTGGGAAAACTGGATAACCACATGCAGAATAAAAATGGACCCCTATTTTACACCACTCACAAAAATTAACTTGAAATAAATGAAAGACATAAACATAAGATCCCTAGTGGTATAAATGTGTGAGGCAGCCAATCAATGTTTCTTTTTCCTTCTCCCTCAAAAAAATTTTTTTCTAAAGAATACAACTACCATATGATTCAGCAATTCCACTTCTCAGTATTTGCCCAAAGGAAATGAAAACAGGATCTAGAAGAGATAATCTGCACCTCCATGTTCACTGATTATTCACAATAACCAAGATATGGAAACAACCTACATGTCCATCAACAAATGAATGAATAAAGAAGTTGTGATATCTATCTATAGATATAGATGATATAGATATATGAAGGAACATTATTCCACCATGAGAAAGAAGGAAATCCTGCTACTTGCAACAACATGGATAAAACTTTAGGGTATTATGCTAAGTGAAATTAGACAGAGAAAGACAAATACTGTATGATCTTACATATGGAATCTAAAAATGTCAAATTCATAGAAACAGAATAGTAGTAGTTACCAGGGGCTGAGGGGTGGAGGAAATAGGAGATGTTGGTCAAAGGGTATAAACTTCCAGTTATAAGATGAATAATTTATGAAGATCTAATGTACTGCATGGTGATTATAGTTAATACTGTATTGTATTTAAAACTTGCTAAGAGTATAGATCTTAAATGCTATCACTACAAAAAACAAATGGTAATTACGTGACATATGCAGGTATTAGCTAAGCTATGGTGGTAAACATTTTGCAATATATAAGTGTATAAAATCAATACATTGTATACCTTGAACATGCACAAGGTTATATGTCACATCTCAATAAAGTGGGGTGTGGGGAGAGACCAGCAAGGGGTACAGCTAGATTAAAACTTAGACTCCTGGCCCCAGAGCTATGAACTAAACCACTATGCTTGAGTGCTATAAAATTAGCAAACCACACTTATTTATCCTTTTCTCTAGTGACATTTAGGTTGTTCGCAATGTTCCCTATCATGAACCAGTTTCAGTGAACATCACTGTGACTTCTCTCTTTGTGCAGATGTGGAACGTTTCTTGAGGGTACATATAACTCAAGTGGGCAAGCTATGGAAACCATTTTTGTCTGTCTTTTGAAAAAACAGAACAGAGCAAATGCTGTTTAAAACATCCTTCTTTCCTTCAGAATTTTTTTTCTCTAACAGAATATATGTTCTTTGAAGGTGAGGATTTTTTGTCTCTTTTGTTCACCGATCTATTTGAATCATCTAGAACATCAGGCACATGAGATACTCAATAAATATTTGGTCAATTATGAATGGTTCTTGAATATTAGACTCTGCTGTCTAAACACTTTTCATAGGGCACCAAAATGTATAAATTGATAATTTTACCCAAATACAGGATTTACCCCAAAGGGGACTGTGAGAGAGGATTCTTGGATCCTGGCACGTCCTCAATATTATTAGACTTCCCCTCAAGGACTTTAAACTAGGAGGTAAAAACAGTTTCCATGACCCAACAGCCTGAGGAGAGAGCCTGCTGTATATGACATGGGACTGTTGCTCCTGAGGCCTGGTGTGTGGCCCTGAACCATTGAAGATGCACCTCAACTATCTCCAGCCTTATGGATACCAAGCCACAGTGGCTAAGGGGACTCCAGTGAACAGTTCCCAGTCTGTCCTACTGCTCGCTCTTGCTCTTACCCCTCATGCCTTTAAAGTAGGGCTGTTTATCAGATCCAAACCCAGACTCCCAGAAGGCCCTCATGGGCACTCTGTGTAGGAGAAATTCCTTTTATTTATTTTTTATTATTTTTTTAATCCTCACCAGAGGACATTTTTGCATTTTTATCTTGAGATAGAGTGGGAAGGAGAGGGAGAGAGAGAGAAACATCAATGTGAGAGACACATCGAGTGGTTGCCCCCCGGGCCGGGGACAAACTACAACCAAGACATGTGCCCTGAGCAGGAACTGAACCCTGACCTCTCTGGTCCACCAGCCGATGCTCTAACCACTGACCCAAATGAGGCAAGGCAAATTTCTTTCATTAATTAATTAATTAATTAATTAATTTTATTTCCAGAGAAAGAGGAAGGGAGAGAGAGAGAGAGAGAGAAACATTGATGTGAGAGAGAAACATCGACTGGTTGCCTCCCGTACATGTCCCAACTGGGGATAGAATGCAATACCTTTTGGTGTAGAAGGCGATGCTCCAACCAACTGAGCCACCTGGCCAGGGCCAGAAATTCCTTTGAGAGTCTTGCATGTGAACAGCACTCTTCCACAGAATCTAGCAATGAAACAGGTTCCCCATATTTGTGTTCTTTTGGTCCCTCAGAATTGAGGAGTCAGAAACACACCTACTTCAGTGCTAACTTGTTTTTAGCTGTGTTTCCCAATATGTCATAAGTTAATTATAGACAACAGAACAGTGGCCATACAAGAAAACTGTCCCTCTGGGTTCTTTCTTGACTGCTGCTTAAATGGGAGCTGCATCTTTGATACTATTTTTTAAATTCCTTTTTTAATACTACTATTGGGTGAAAGTGATGGCCCATCAAACATTTTCATGTGTAAAACCGAGGAACAGTCTTATGTGCACTGGACTGAAGAGAACTTTGGAGCGAGAGACTCCATCTGATTTATTTATTTTTCCTTGCCTGTTCTCCACAGCCCATACTATTTTTTTACATTTCTCTTTTTCTTCACTCAAGACCCATGCTGGCATTAACAAATCCATCAAATATTTAGTGATTTAGGCCAACTATATGCCAAGCCTTCTTTTAGGAGCTGAACAGAATATTAAGTTCCACATGAAGCTTACCTTCTAGTAAAATGAACAGATAATAAACAAGGAAGAAAAGAAAATCAAAATACAGAGCAAAGAATGTTGGAGGCTCTGCTTTAGATGGCAGAGAAAGCCCCTCAGATCACTTTGTCATTTGCTTAAAAAGTGTGAACAAAAGCCCGGCTGGTGTGGCTCAGTGGTTGAGCATTGACCCATGCTCCCAGAGGTCACCAGTTTGATTCCTGGTCATGGCACATGCCCAGGGTTAAGCCTGATCCCCATGGGAGGACATGCAGGAGGCGGCCAATCGATGTTCTCTCTCATTGATATTTCTATCTCTCCCTCTCCTTTCCTCTCTCAAAAATCAATAAAGAAAAAACAACTTTTTAAAAAAATTTTAGTTTTGTTACAGATGTTTCTCCTTGTTTACCCCATTGACACCCTCCTCCCCATTCCTCCCATTCCGTCTCCGGCTTTGTTGTTCATATCCATTGGTTATCCGTAAATGCATATAAGTTCTGTGGTTTATCTCTTCCCTTCCCCCACCACCCTCTTTTCTGAGGGTTGTCAGTATGTACCCTACTTTCACGTCTCTGGATCTACCCTATTCCTCAGACTGTTATGTTCATTATATTCCACATATAAGTGAGATCATGTGGTATTTGTCTTTTTCTGCTTGGCTTGTTTCGCTTAGGATAATACTTTCCAGGTCCCCCCATGTCATCTCAAAGGATAAGAGATCTTTCTTTCTTACGGCTGCGTAGTACTCCACTGTGTATATGTACCACTGCTTTTTTATCCATTCGTCTACTGATGGACACTTGCGCTGTTTACAAATCTTAGCTATTGTAAATAGTGCTGCTATGAACATGGGGGTACATACATTCTTTCTGATTGGTGTTTCAGGCTTCTTAGGGTATATTCCTAGAAGTGGGATCACTGGGTCAAATGGCAGTTCAATTTTTAATTTTTTGAGGTAACACCATATTGTTTTCCATAGTGGCTGCACTAGTCTGCATTCCCACCAGCAGTGTACTATACTAAAGTCCCTTTTCTCCACACCCTCGCCAACACTTGTTTGATGATTTGTTGATGGCGGTCATTCTGACAGGTGTGAGGTGATACCTCATTGTTGTTTTAATTTGCATCTCTGTGATGATTAGTGATGTTGAGCATTTCTTCATATGCCTCTTGGACATTTGTATGTCCTGTTTGCAGAGGTGTCTATTCAGCTCCTCTGCCCATTTATTAAATTGGGTTTGTTGTCTTCCTTTTGTTGAATTGTATGAGTACTCTATATAATTTGGAAATTAATCCCTTATCTGATGTATCATTGACAATGATGTTCTCCCATACAGTGCATTTCCATTTTGATGGTTGTTTCTTTTGCTGTGCAGAAGCTTTTTAGTTTGATGTAGTCCCATGTGTTCATTTTCTCCTTTGTTTCTGTAGCATTAGGTGATGTATCAGTGAAAATTCTGCTGTGTATGATGTCCGAAATTTAGTTGCCTAAATTTTCTTCTAGGATTTTTATGGATTCACGGATCACATTTAAGTCTTTTATCCATTTTGAGTTTATTTTTGTGTATGGTGTAAGTTGATGGTCTAGTTTCATTTTTTTTGCATGTAGCTGTCCAGTTTTCTCAACATCATTTATTAAAGAGGCTGTCTTTACTCCACTGTATGCTCTTGCCTCCTTTGTCAAATATTAATTGAGCATAATGTCTTGGGTCCATTTCTGGGTTCTCTATTCTGTTCCCCTGGTTTATATGCCTGTTCTTGTGCCAGTACCAGGCTGTTTTGATTACAGTGGCTTTGTAGTATAACCTGATATCTGGTATTCTGATCCCACCTACTTTGTCCTTCTTTTTCAAAATTGCTGTGGCTATTCAGGGTCTTTTTGTTCCATATGAACTTTTGAAGTATTTGTTCTAGTTCTGTGAAATATGCCGTTGGTATTTTGATGGGAATTGCATTGAATCTATAGATTGCTCTGGGTAATATGGACATTTTAATGATGTCAATTCTTCCAATCCATGAACAAGCCATGTGCTTCCACTTTTTTCTATCTTCCTCTACTTCTTTTTTCATTTTCCTGTAGTTTTCTGTGAATAGGTCCTTTACTTCTTTGGTTAGGTGTATTCCTAGGTATCTTATTTTTTTTACCATGATGGTAAATGGGATTGTTTTTTCAGTTTCTCTTTCTGTGAGTTCATCATTGGTGTATAAGAATGCCATCAATTTCTTGACATTAATTTTGTATCCTGCTATTTTGCCAAATTCATTTAGTAAGTCTAGTAGATGTTTGATGGAGTCTTTTGGGTTTTCTATGTATAATATCATGTCATCTGCAAATAATGACAGTTTCACTTCTCCTTTCCAATTTGGATCCCTTTTATTTTTTCTTCATGTCTGATTGCTGCGGCTTAGATTTCCAGTATTATGTTGAATAAGAGTGGTGAAAGTGGGCATCCCTGTCTTGTTCCTGTTCTTAAGGGAAATACTTTTAGTTTCTGCCCATTGAGTATGATGTTGGCTGTAGGTCTTTCATATATGGGTTTTATTATGTCGAGATATGATCCCTCTATTCCCACATTGCTGAGCATTTTTATCAGAAATGGATGCTGGATTTTGTTGAATGCTTTTTCAGCATCTATTGATATGATCATGTGGTGTTAATTTATTCTTCATTTTGTTTATGTGATGTATCACATTTATTGATTTGCGAATATTGTACCAGCCTTGCATCCCTGGGATGAATCCCACTTGGTCATGGTGAATAATTTTTTTTGATGTATTGCTGGATCCAATTTGCAAGTATTTTGTTCAGGATTTTGGCATCTGTGTTCATCAGAGATATTGGCCTATAGTTTTCTTTCTTTGTAGTGTCTTTTTTTGGTTTTGGAACTATAATTATGCTGACCTCATAAAACAAGTGTGGAAGTCTACCTTCTTCTTGAATTTTTTGAAATAGTTTGAGGAGAATGGGTGTTAGTTCTTCTTTGAATGTTCGTTAAAACTCCCTGGTGAAGCCATCTGGGCCTGGGCTTTTGTTTGCTGGGAGAGTCTTGATTACCTCCTTAATTTCCTTAGTTGTTATTGGTCTGTTCAAGTTTTCTCTCTCTTCCCGGTCCAGTTTTGGGAGACTGTGTGTTTCTAGAAATTTGTCCATTTCGCTTAGATTGTGGAATTTGTTGCCATATAATTGTTCATAGTAGCTGTTAACGATCTTTTGTATTTCTGTGGTGTCACTTGTTACTTCTCCTCTTTTATTTCTGATTTTGTGCATTTGTGTTCTCTTTGTTTCTCGGTGAGTCCAGCTAAGGCTCCATCAATCTTGTTTATCTTTTCAAAGAACCAGCTCTTTGTTTCATTGATCCTTTGAATTGTTTTTTTTTTTTCTTTTTTCTTGGTCTCTATGTCATTTATTTCTGCTCTGATCTTTACTATTTCCTTCCTTCTACTTGCTCTGGGGCTTTCCTTTTGTTTGCCTTCGAATTCTTTAAGTTGTGAGGTTAGACAGTCAATTAGAACTTTTTCTTGTTTCTTGAGGTAGGCCTGTAGTGTTATGAACTTCCCTCTCAGAACTGCTTTCACTGCATCCCATAGATTTTGTGTTGTTGTGTGTTCATTTTCATTGGTGTCCAGGAAGTTTTTAATTTCTTCCTTGATCTCCCCAGTAACCCATTCATTGTTTATTAACATGCTATTTAGCCTCCATGTGTTCCAATGTCTTTGCATGTTCTTGTTGCAATTTATATCTAGTTTCATGCCATTGTGATCTGAGAAGATGCTTGATATGATTTCAATCTTCTTGAAGTTGTAGAGGTTTGGTTTGTGTCCTATCATGTGGTCTATTTTTGAGAATGTTCCATGTACACTTGAGAAGAATGTAAATTCTGTAGTTTTGGGGTGTAATTCTCTGTAGATATCTATTAAATCCATTTGGTCTAGTGCTTCATTCAGAGTCTCTGTTTCCTTGCTAGTTTTTTGTCTATAGGATCTATCCAGTGATGTCAGCGGGTGATGAAGTCCCCTGCTATGATTGTATTGTTGTTGATTTCTCCTTTGAAGTCCTCCAAAAGATTTTTAATATATTCTGGTGCTCCTATATTGGGTGCATATACGTTTATCAAGGTTATATCTTCCTGTTGGATAGATCCTTTCAATATTATGTAGTGGCCTTCTTTGTCTCTAGTTATGGCCTTCATTTTGTAATCTATTTTATCAGATATGATATTGCTACCCCAGCTTTTTTTCCTGTCCATTTGCTTGGAAGATTTTTTCCATCCCTTCACTTTCAACCTATGTGAGTCTTTTGTTGTGAGGTAGGTCTCTTGTAAACAACATATAAATGAGTCATGCTTTCTTATCCTATCAGCTACTCTGTGTCTTTTTATCAGAGCATTCAGTCCATTTACATTTAAGGTGATTATTGATATGTACTTATTAATTGTCATTTTTGTTTAGTTTGGTTATATTTTTCTTCCTATTTCTTCTACTAGTTACAGCAGTTCTTTTAACATTTCTTTTTTTTTTTTTTTATCCTCACCCGAGGACATTTTCCCATTTTTTGTTCAGATAGAGCGGGAGGGAGAGAGAGGAAGAGAGAGAGAGAGAAACATCGATGTGGAAGGGACACATCGAGTGGCTGCCACCTGCACGACCAACCAGGGCCGGGGACAAATTGCAACCGACGTACATGCC